AATTTGACTCGAGAAATTCAATTAACAATTAAATCAATCACTTTTATTTTCAACAAGATAAAACTTGCGAGAGAATGAGAACTTCCACACGCCGGTGATACTCGTCGGTCGACCGAAAATGGCGGCGTTCTATCGGCTTGCCATGCGGTCGCTCGTCTCAACGTTATTCCTCGGTCACACCGTACACCGGTACTATCTCCAGAACAACGAGGAAGATGGAAACTGGACACTAACCTTTGATTCTGGCCAACAAAGCCTGGTAATCCATATTCTAATTTTTACTGAACTTTCGGTTGAACCGCGGTGTCACCTTTAAAGTCTATCGGCGGCCAGGCACGAACTGTCGAAAAAAGGTTACTCGGCTTCCTGCATCGGTCCCGTATATAGGTCATGCGCAATATGGGTTCGCCCCTGCAGCATGACAATAGTCCCAACGTCTGTGACAGGTGATTGCCGGTTGACAGTAGATTCATGCCGATTATTATAAATTGTTGACGCCTTTTCGGTCGGTTGATGATTAAATAACAATACCTAAATTAGTATTTTATAATCAACCAGAACGTGTGGAATTTCCTTTGTAAATAAACAATTTGATTCTTTTACAACTCAACCTTTGAATATTATATCGATTCTATACAATTCAAAGACCCAATAATGGAATAAAATGTTGAGTTCGATTCTAGCTACCTTATTTACTTTTTAATAATTTATCAGAAATTAATCAGATAAGTTTCGGCGGATCCAATGTGGTTTCTTATAACGTGATTATTCTAAATCAACGTTACAACACAAACCGCATTGAGTTTGAATTTATCCGGACAAATTCCGAGCGACAAAAACCTGTCCATAAGCAGACTGTTTCGGAATAGCTGCGGATTCACAGCTTATCCGGATTATTAAACCAACCAGATTATTCTGCGTTTACTAGTTGCATATGATCTAACTAACTGCAGACTAAACCGGACTAATTACGGATTCCATAATTATAAAAAACTTTTTATTCAGGGTATTTACTTACGGTAAATAAAATATTTAATTCTGTAGTCAGTTTGTTTTTACAAATTTACTAGTAGGTATTATCAGTTATCTTGTGTCAATATTAAAATTAACACTGATGTGTTAGTTTCTTGTCATTTCTTTTCGTTGCACTTTATAAGTTCTATTATGAATTTGAACTTCCATGCGAGCGTGGTATAGTGGTTAGTGTATTCAATTTCGGTGCGATATAATGTTAGATAGGTGTAGGTTCGAATCCCCAAGCGTTAGAAATTTTAAGTTAATGTAAATAAAATTGCGATAGGTAAATCGAAAAATATGATGAATGTAGCATAAAGTAATAATAATTAATATGTAATTTTGTATAATTATTTTTTTTATTAACATTCACTAAATTGTCCGGACTAACTTTTGACTGTTTCGGACTGATGTTGGATTCACTAGTTAAAATTAACTGATTAATTTCGGACTTCATCGGACCAACTCCGGTTTCGCTAGTTGTTCACAGATCCTATAGAATTCGGATTTCTCCGGATTAATTGCGGGTGACAAAAACCTGATCATAAACCACATTGTTTCGGACAAATTTCGGATTAGTCCAAAATCTGTCCGGTTTTTTAACCAGGGCTGTATATGAAGGTACAATTTTCTCTCTTCTTTTAAATGTACGCAAACGCAGAACGCGTCACATTAGAAAAATTTTCTTAAAAGAGTTTAGAAGAATGAAAAGAGTTCTTAAAAGTTAACAGAGATTTAAAAGAGGGTTTCAAATTTTTGATAGAAATTTGACGGAGGTTGCAAAGAGGTTAAAAAGATAGTGAATAAGAGTGAAAGGAGGATTTTGAGAAGTAAGCAGGTTTAAAGGAGGTTCGATTTACTATTTAGCAGGCTCAAAAGAGGGTCTAAATTTCGATTCAGGTACCAACATCCAAACGTGGTTGACACCACAAGACTCCGCGCCAACTTTGCCAATTCTGGGCCAGTGTTGGATCGCGTTGGTTTTCGCACATGTGTAATGTTATTATATGCTACTCTCAGCTTAACAAAAATTGTTTATACATTAATAGAAGCCTAATCACAATATGTTCAGCATAATTCTGGCCAGTTGAAAAAGACTCAGGCGCGAGTCCCTTCGAAATTGCTCTATAAAATTAATATGGAAGCAGGTAAATACGAAACTAAATATATCGTTGCGGAAAGGTAAAGAAACAAGCTTTCAAATGATATAAATATCTAGTCTTTAAATTCATTAACTTGGGTTAGGTAGTCTTTTAAACAAAGCGAAAAGCGTCCTGCCGGCAGAACCGGGTTTTCTCGTTCTGTGACTAAAATAATCATGTGAGTTTTTAAAAAATTCATCTTCTTTAAGCTACTCTGCCCTTCGGTTTGATCTTACACGCTCGACATTTACATTCGCTGAAAGCTTGTTTCATCACCTTTCCAACGATATGTGTCAACGTACACATGAAAAGGGCTCATTATGGCACTATTGGACTTATCGATATGGGCGAATTCGATATGGGCGAAATTCAAAGTTTAGAATGCCAAAAACCTCACTTCGAGAAAAACAGAATTAAAGATTGTGTACCAATTAATTGTGATATCTCTGGTTCTTCTAGAAAGTTATTCAGATAATAATTGTTTCCAATCCAGGGCACCATAAAGATGAAAAATCAAGAGGTTTTAAATTTTTCCCCCCTCCATTTCGAAAATACGGAATTTACAAAGGACCGACAAAATGGACCCTCTTATTTTTTATAAAGAACTAATGAAATCAAACACTTAAATTAACGGTAAATTATTGAAAACCGCATTATTTGACTTGTCAAAACATGTAGATTGATAATAAAAAATAAAAAAAAATTAAGGTTTTTCTCCAAAATTACTATAGTTGCGATTAACTCGAAAACTAGAACCGACAAAATGGGCCATTTTCATGTGGTCGGCTACATATATTACTTTTTGTTTATCTGAAGTCATGTTAGCTTAATTTAAAGATTTAGGGCGGTCTCACCTGAGTCTTTTTTAACCTATCGGAAGGACGTTGAACGTTCTGTCACTAATAACTATCACTTATGTTTTTCTGTGATAGTAGTACAGTACTGGAATAGTGATGCCATGACAATCTTAAAGGCATGACATACATGAAATGTAAACATAATAAACACTAAAATCATAATTTTTGGCAGCTCCATTTCTGTAAAACCTTGGTAAAAAAGCCTCGTAGGAAACATTAGAAAACACTTAAAAATCTTCAACTGAACACAATGTAAGATGAACTAGGTTCTACTATTTTTTAATAGGCTTTCGTTCCAATGAGGAACGTACAAAGTTCTAATGTGTTCTTAAAAGTTTGAGAAAATAATAATTCAGAAGGTTCCTTATGTTTTCTACAAGATTCCTATGAGTGTAAAATAATTAAAAATATTCTTTTAGGTTGAACAATGTTTCTAATGTGAAATGAAAAAAGTATTACAAAATTAGAGAAATTGTCTTTTAAGATAATTTAAGAGGTTTCTAATATTTTTTTCAAACAAATCTCTATTAACAATTTTATTGTTAATTATTTTAAATAATATAAAAAATAATTAACAATAAGGACGGAAAATTAAATAATTAGAAAAAATATATTACAATTACTATATTGTAAGTTCATTTTTATTAATAAATTAATATTTTATGTAAATATTAACAAATGAATATCATATTAATAATTAAAATTATTATTATTTCTGGCGTCTTGTCAATTATATAATTAAAATTGTTTTATTACATTAAAGTTTCTGTGAAATTAATAATTATTTCAAAGGAATTAAATTCATCTTTTTCTCCTGTTCAGAAAAAATACCGTCATTTCTGTGGCGAGTGTTAGGAATTCTAATGTGTATAAAAATGTTTTAAGTGTGTACAAAATGCTCAAATGATCTATAAATAAATTTCTTGTAGAAATATAGAATAGGTAACCGCACACACAAAAACATTTAAAAGAAATTTAAAGCCCTTTCTCCAATAGGTTCCTAAAAGTTTGCGTAAATCTGCGAATGCGTCGGTTGCTATGGCAACATATGCTAAAAACAGCGCAACGCAGTCATTCGCAGATTTTTGGAAACCTATTGGAGAAAAAGCTTAATAAAACCTATAGAAACCTTATAAAAAATTGGACAAATCTCTACTACAATCCCTCATTAAAGAGGACTTCCTATAGTTTTGTAACTATATCTTACATAACTAAAAACATTAGAAAAAAGTCGACACCTCTTGTTTGATAATATTCTTTTTCAAAGTCCAGTGCAATATAATCCTAACTTAAAATAAAATGGAATATAAATTTTTTTAAAAATTTCCAAAAAAAAATTCTTATTCAACCGCGCCAATGCAAGAAAATGCTAATTAGAACTGCATGCTATAAAAAGACAAATAATTTACTTTAATTTCGAATTTAGTTTTCGTGAAGACAGCGTACAAAACTTAAGGCGCTCGCACAGCTCTACTGCCAGCATGAGAGTAAGAGAAAAAAACATGAAATTTGAATTTTCTGACTTACTTACTCTCATGTGTTACCATGACAACTGTGCATGCATTGGCATGCATGCAGAGCTGTGAGGGCGTCTTTAATCACAGAAAAAAATTGAACTTAAAATGAGTCGGAAAAGTGACTCATTATGAGCTGCAACAAAAATGAGTAGGGCAGATGACGCCACGTTCTATGTCATTTAACATGGACTCATTTTGAGTTGCAACAAAAATGAGTCCAAGTTTTTTCTGTGATGTTTATGGAAATGGGAGCTACTTTAAAATTGCGATTTTTATGTTTGGTTTGTCTACATTTCACACCGTGAACATGCCTACATTTCATTGTAGTTTATACTCTACTACTAATATGAACGAATTAACTGCTGACATCTTAATACTGATGCAATAATAATATTTCTATTTTCTTCAAAAAAAGTTTTTTACGATTGAGTTTTTATCTTTCAGTGTATATATTAAAAGAGAATAATTACCATTATCTGACATATGAATGTCATCATCTTCATCAGTATTTGAATTGTAAGAATTATTATCATTGATGTTGTTATTCCGAATGCCAGCAGAACTGATAAGCATATTATCATCACGAAACTCCATATTGAAATCAATTTCCATTGGAATATCATCACGTAATTCATCATTATTAATTCTTTGGTCGTCATCTACGTTGTTTTTCTATAATTAAATGATTGAGGTTACCCTAAAAAAATTTAGCATTGATAGCCTTAAAAATGTTGCGTCTTAATTTAAGACTGCCTTCCTGTCTTAAAATAAGACTTCTTTTTACTATGTGTTTCTCAACACACATTTTTCAACAATACGGTTTTTACACAAATCTGTATTAGCTCATGATTACTCCCAATTCCTAACAGCTCCAATCAATACTTTTTTTAATTGGATAGTGTCTATCAATTCCGCCAAGAATGCAATTTTTATAGGATCGCGAGCGTATCCTGTGCAGTAACTTGGAACAAGGTTCCTGTGCAGATTCCAGTGCAGGAACTTTAACTAATTACCATGACATGCGTCAGTAGTCAAAAAGGTGGCGCCAATTCGAGCTAGTAGCTGCGGCTGAACTAAGAAAACTCAAATTACTCCACTTTCAATAGTTAATAAAATAATTTCCTCACAAATTTATTGTCAAAACGGAAAAGAGCGCATCTCATTGACCCTTCTTCTTTCGACCGCAATATGAATTATGAACCCGAAATATTTAACCCTACGTCCGACACCTGGGTCCAGCCAGACCCTTTTTTTTAAACGTTAATTAAATCTATTGTAACTAGCGACTTGGGCTTCCAAATACCTTCATAAAATGTTATTAGCTAACGCTTTTAAAAGCGAAAAAAACAGAAAAGTGTTTTAATACGATTTTCTAAATGTTTTAAAAATATTTCCTCTAACCGACACCTGTGCCTAGTCAGACCCCTACATATTTTGTATATGGAAGCGTATGAGATTTAATATATTTTGATCATTTTAGGTCCCGTTTATTACTTTTTAATTTTTTTTATTGTAATTATCCATTTAAAATGTACACATATTACGGGTAAATCTCACGAAATGAGGCAAATTGGGTACTGAGATATCAATACAACAAAAAACTTCCATATTGTTAATCCGCATTTCTAAACATTTGTTAATACTATTTCACGAGTATGAAATATAAAAAAATTCTCGTTAGTCAAAATTAAAGATTTATGCAACTGATTTCTTCATTAAAATTTTAGAAATTGAGAAACTTGTGACGTAAGTCGTATAAAATCCAATTTATATTAACCGATCTTTATTTAACATTCGTCCATAGAATATTTACATTTTTAGGTATTCAAAAATACAAAAATTTTAAGGAAAACACGCTACCAGTGTTTAACTCGTTGTTAAAAATGGTTTTTGACGATCACAAGAAATCAAATTTAAAAAAATGTATACATCTTTGCGTAATATCCTGGCTTAGCGTAAATATATGTGGGTGAAAAATGCTCAGCCCTAAAAATAATACTTGGGGTTGATATTGAATAATTTTTTACAAAAAACTGTTAGTCCGTTATAGTGCTATTGTAGGAAAAAAATATATTTGAACTAAATCGTGTGTGGATTTTTGATAAATGTAATTCAGGTAGATAAAAGAAAATGTATTTTGAAGGGTTGTTAAATATTATGAATTCTTGACAATAAGTACGTTTTACCTGCACTCATAACCATAAATATGAAAAATATAGGATAAATATAGTAGCAATTAAGAAATATTGATTAAGCGCATTAAAATGATATATTTCTAGGTATTTGTCGAAAAATAATAATTTATGTTAAAAAAGTGTGCTACTAATTAGAAAATAAAATTTTTTTGAATTAAAAAATCTTCATTTCGTGAGATTTCCCCATGTATATTATAAATAATATACATATTATAATAAATAAATAATAAAAATATCAATTTATTATAGAAATGAGTTTAAATGTAACATTTATTTACAATAAAACTGCATGGGTCCAGCCAAGCACAGGTGTCGGTCCGAAGGGTATCGAACCATGTGTCGGACGGAGGGTTAATCCTCTCAAGATGATATGTAATTTTTAAACCATTCAAAACCCCTATTTTAAATTTGGGTTTAGACAGAGTTTGATCGTATGGAGCAAATTTTAAGTCCTATTAAAAAAAATTAACATTTGTTTTGTTAATTGTAAAGGAAAAGATATTCATTTGGTTGATTTAACAAAACTTTGTTTGTTTTAAATAAATTTTTTTCTAAATATCTGAATTTATATTTGTGTTTCATAAAAACTAAAATATCAAAATAAGTTGTGTTTCAGGAAAATGTTCAGCTAAAATTAAAAATTCAATTTAATTCAGTATTTTTTGAAAATCCAAAATGTAGGGGAGCGTGGGGTAATGGGAGCTTTTAAATTTCACGTACTTAAAAGCCTTCAAATTCGCTGCAATGTCTAGAAAATCTCCTACAACCTTTGTTTATATCATTCCAAAACAAACGATTACATTCTTGACAAATTTTTAGTAAAGACAAGGAAAAATGTATTTTTTGCGTTTTCGTTGTAAAATGCCAAATATTTCTAAACATCACCATAAGTAGTTAAAATCGTATTATTTAGTTCTGTTTTTTCATTATATTATAGGTGAACATATGTAGATATGTATACTTGTATAAAAATTAAAATAATAATAAAATTTGTTTATGTTTTAATTTTTTTATTCAAATTTTGGCCTGTAAGAATTCTGTGGGGTAATGGGAGAATTAGTGTCAGACCAAAGAATTTTCGTTACTATGTTGCGTCTTTCGTTATTTCTTTCAAAATTGTAAAAGGTATCACCTTATGAAAAAACTTTTAATTAAAAAATAATTTTTGGTGGGAAAAATGAAAAATTTAATTTTTTTCAAAAATTTTTTATTCAATTATAATTTAGGAAAAAATTTATTCTAAGTCTAAAGTTTTGCTTCATTGTAAGTATTAACACTTTTTTCTATTAGAAAACAAAGAATATTCCTAAAATATAGAAATTTTTTAAATTTCAAGTGAAAGCTCCCATTACCCCACAAATTGGGTAATTGCAAAAAATGTATTTTTTTTGAAAATTTTTTTTTTCCAATTTACTTTCTCTTTTTAAGTTTCTAATTAAACATAATTAAAGATAAATAACGAAATAAGTAGGAAATGACGAAAATAATGTATTATTATAAATATAAGTTGGTTTTTTTAATAATTTTCCTTAAGGGACTCCAATTCCCCCACGCTCCCCTACCTATAAATTTAAAACCATCAGCTCTTAATAAAAAAGGTTGAATCGAGAACAACATTTTAAAGAAAAATATCTAAATATATACATAGTTTAGTATGTAATTTCTTTAGAAGAAAGCAGTAGAAAAATTCTATGTGAAAATTCTTCGCAGAAATTCAATTATTTTTAATATAATTTTAAAAGAATTCTTTTCAGGGATTCAATTATTTTGATAAAATGTAAAATTTTCACAGAAATTCAATTATTTAAAAAAAGATTTATAATTTTTTTTTAAATATTTAATTACTTTCATGAATAATAATATTATCTTGAAATATATCGAATAATAGAATAATAAGAATCTCCTAAAAAATAAAGAAATTAATTTAAATTTAATTATTAAGTTTATTTATAATAATAATAGTAATAGGGTCAATTGGGGTAAATGTAAACGGAATATCTATTTTTCACCAAAAACGTTAGTTTTTTTTGTTAACATGTAAAACGGATGGATTTCTTTTGCATGAACTTGTTACTAGAGTTCCCCTTATTGTTAATTTTTATAAAACGCGAATTAATGCTGGTCATCTATGTTTATTACTAATATACAATAAATTTCTTCAATAAATATCAAGAGAACCGTAAAATTAAATTCAAAAACTGTGTTTTAAAAATAGCAATATTAATTTAAATATTAGCAAATGAGTAAATTTAGTTAACCCGAAAAATAAAAGTACGAGTAAAAATAAATTTAATTTATTTATTACAATTGCATTTTTACACTTTACGTGCATACAAGGGAGTTTTCGCATGGTATACGAAACACAAAATAGATCGAAAAACAAGAGTGAATCAACAAATTCGTAATTCCAAAACCTTTAAAAAATTATATATAAATTGCTTAATTAAACCGCGTTTATCAGACGCAAGAATGTTTAACCATCTGTCAGTCAAATTTTGATCGGACGCTTCCTCGTTAAAGGAGAACACAAAATAGTGATTACATACCGGACAAGAAGACATAATATGGTGTAAATTATCGCTGTCCAAATTGCAAATGGCGCAAGGTGCATCAGGGCGAAAAATGAATTTTTTTTATTATAAATTAATCTAGATGCGTGACTATTAAATAACCTTATTTGAGCAAAAATTTTTTTTGTAAAAAATAGGCATATTCAATAATAAGTATTTTTGAGGACCAGGTTGAAGAAGTAGATGTGGTTAGATCTCAAGACTTCTAGACAGCTTAAGACAAGCCAGATCACGACCCTGCACGTGTGCAGTATATGACTTAAGAACAAAATCCCAGTCAAGACTCATCAAATTCGAATTTGATTCATTCAGAAAGTTCAAAAGGCCACAAGGTTCCAAAAAATTATTTTTTAATTGAACTATCCAGTTGAATTTATTATTCGGATTCCTGTTAGCTAGCCTTAGAAAACTCAACAAACACTTCCTGGGGTAACGAGAATTATCCATTGAAGAAATTTTTTTAAACCAGGAAATAATGTTTTTTAAGATTGCGCAGGCAAGTGGTAGTGAGCCAGTTTCCAGTCTAACGGCGTAATTAGGGGTACATAACGGGAGATTCAGCAGTTTTTTGAAAAAGCCAAGTTGAACCTTCTCAACGTAATCAAGAAACCCCATACCCCAGATTTGACATGCATAAAATAAAATGCTGGTCGCAAGACTCTGAAATAGGCTGGTACATGATTCCCATGAATCCATCTTGACTGAGTGTATCGTTCTCAAGACTGAGCCCACCGCAGTGTTCGCGGAACTGACTGCTTCCCTAGCAGCGGGATTGAAGGAGCATGAATTATGGCAAGTGACCCCAAGATAAACATATTTTTTGACCACCTCAATGCACCCATTACCAAATTTAAAAGTTCTAAGTTTTTTCGCTTTCGAGTTTCCAGATCTAGAAAATATCACTACTTTAGTTTTGTCAGTGTTAACAGTCAAACCGTTGCATGCGCAGTACTCGTGTAATGATTTTAACTTTTTATTCAGTTCCAATGGCGAATCCGCGAGAAGCACATAATCGTCAGCATACCCCAACATAAGCAACTCAGTCTTAGAGTCGATCGAGATTCCTCTACATTCACGCTCAATAAACAAGTTTTCCATATCAAATATGTATAACAAAAAGAGAAGTGGACTCAGTACATCACCCTGAAGTACACCACGAGTAATTTTCACGCGATTAGTAATACCTTCATTTGTTTTGATACGGGTAAAGGCTTTCGAATAAAAATCCATCAAAATATTTATTAGTTTAGAACTCAGTCCCAGGGAGTATAATTTTTTCCACAAGCACTCATGAGGAAGGGACGGAAAGGCCCCTTTAAAATCAATAAATGCTGCATAAAGAACCGATCCCGGATTACTCAGGTGGATCTGCATAAGGGACAGAAAATTAAACAAGTTATCCAAGCAACCTCTGCCCCTCCTGAAACCCCCCTGGGACTTCGGGACAAAGTTCAATGATTCAGCCCATAAATATAATCGATTATAAATAATTAATGAAAAAATTTTTGCAATACAATCTATCAATGATATCGGTCTATAATTATCGGGGATCAACGGATCTCCCTTTTTAAAAAGCATAAAAGTAAATGAATAGCCCCATTCATTGGAAACTTTCTCTAAATCCAAAATTTTATTAAAAAGGTGAATCATAAATAATAACCAGTTTTGAGGTAAATTTTGAAAAAAATCATAGTTAAGACCATCTGGACCAGGGGCCATTCCGACCTTACAATTTGCCAGGCACTTTATGAGTTCATCGAAGGTCACATAATCATCAAGTACTTGCACAGAGTGCCTTAAAAAAGTAGCATTCGAAACAGGGGTAACCTGAAGATAAGAATTTAGCAAAAAACTCTGCCAAGTATCAATATCAATATCAAAAAATAATTTATCAGAAT